ATCTTTCTGGATCGGTCGATGTTTGCCCATATGAGGAAGTGGTCGGTCGAACCTATATCTATCGCACTTACGTGCAGCTCTGGGATCTGCGTGCTCCCCATATCTACCAGGATGTAGTCGAGGATCGAGTATTCATTGCAAACTGCCCGTTGTCTGGTGGACTCCGGCTTATCGCATTCCCTCCTACCGTTCAACACCATCAGCTCGTTGCTTCCCAAGAATTCAAGCATCCTCACTCCGTTGTCATTCACTTTGTCTTCTCCGTGCTGCCCGATCGCCTGTCCTCTACTGGAAGCTTTCCCTACTCTGGAGTTGAAATCGTCCACCATGACAACTTCTCCCTTCCTACTGAACTTCTGGACATCTTCCCCAATTTGTCCAAAGTTCTCCTGCGCCTTGCTTGCAACTTTCTTCGACGACGGTGGGACGTATACGTTCCCTAGAAACAAATCTTTCTCACCCCGCTCCCCAGGTATCTTAAGCCTGGGGTAGGGGGTGGGAATAAGAAATACGATGCTCTGCAACCGTGTGCTGTTTTTGGCTTTCGTCCGCACGCGACCACAACGAGAAGAAGGATCTTCGAACGTCTGGCACGAACCGACACCTTGAGAGTTCCCCCGTGCAATCGATCGCGCAAGTAACTGATAGACGAAGCAAGGGGATGCGTGGCGTGTCCCCAGCAAACGATCCCTTCCCTGCCCCTTATCATACTACCCGACAACCCAAGTTTGCGCAGCTGGAACTGCCAGAAAACTCCACAATCGAGGTGTGCATTTGGGTTGGAAGAACACCAACAACCCCAGCAACCCAACAGCATCAGGGGATACACCCACCGACTGCAAAATCTTGGGTGGCAGCAGACGGCGACAACTCTGTGAAATAGATTACCAACACTCACTACCCTATTGAACGGGTGGTTGGCGATAGAGAGAAGGGGCTGGGTACACTGCAGTACCGTAGGTGACATGATGTGAAATATCACACCCCCTTGACCGGATATTCAAAGCTTAGTTCGACTACTCCACAGTACCACAGAGAGTGACGGCGCCGAGAATGGCGGTAGGCGTTTGAACCGTCTCGTCTAGTCAAGACATTTCCGTAAAAAAAAAATGTAGTTTGAACCCATATCCTCTTCGTCAAGGAGTAACCGTCCTCTGCAAATAGGCCTGCGGGTCGTGGTATCTTGTGTCATATGGAACACAGGTGCAATAGCGCGGTCACCCGCCCATTGTCTAATTCCACCAAAACGGAAAAAAACCGAGGCGCCTTAGAGCACTGAGGACACATGTCTGTCTGTCCTCTGTTTGTTGCCGGGCTGGGGTGTGGTTACATTTGCATATGCGCGCGCCAACAGCCAGGGACCATGTCTCAGATTTGCCACACAAACCCAAGATCGCACACCCCCTGCACCGATTTTCAAAGATCGATTGCTCCAACGTGAAAGAGGATGAACGCATCCAGCGATACATTTTCGGAAAGCTTAATAAGAGACGGTTCAAACCCCGCGATTGCCGGCACCGCCACTCTCTTTCTGCCGTGGGGTACTCAAGCCTTGAAAACAGGGCCAGGGGGTGTGATATCCCCTGTCACCTGCGTTAGCAATGTACCTGCAGCATATGATACGAACGACTTGACAGGAGGTGCATTTGATATACCTGTTTCATGGAATTGGATACATCTACATGTGCTTTGTCGTTGTGGAAACGGCGTCGAGGGGAGACATATGTGTACTGAGCCACGACACTGCAGAGGGGGAGGTGTTTGCAGAGGAGTGTGGCGCGCTCGAGTTGCCTCTCTCTCACCGTGTCCTCTTCGTTGTTGGAGTCGGAGTCATCCCACTGCTGTTCTCCTGCGCTCTCGCCGCTGCTGTCGTCATCCAGCACCCCGGCGGTGTCGTCCCCCATGGTTCGTTCGTTCGTCCGTGTGTCGCTGGTGTGTGTGGCTCCAGGCCCGTGAGGGAGTGCCTCTATACGCCTCTGGCATGCCTCTACGCCTGCTCCCATGAAGCGGGGGATGTAGTTGACAGTCTCGGCAGGCGGTTGCACTCGCAGTTTTTTCGCTGGCTCTCTCGACTCTCGACCAGCTGTTCGCTCTGTCGTCAAGTTTCTCCGCCTCGTCAGCACACATGTTCCTTTGAGCCTTCGCCGACACACGCAACTCATACACACTCTCTCTCTCCCCCCCCCTCTGCATCATCAAGAAAGCTCACGAAGCCCAGCAGCAACGTTTCAGGCGAGCAGAATGGCAGACCACGGAAAGCACGGCGGCGGCGAGCACGGTAAGCACGGCGGCGGCGGGCGGGGAGAAGGCGGTAGGGGCCATGGGCACGAAGGAGGCAGGGGTGACGGAGAAGGCCGGGGGGGCGGCAGGGGCCACGGACCCGCTCACGGCAGCCCTGGTGGTGGTCGGGGTCGCGGCGGCGGCCGCGGCGAGCATGAAGGGGGTCGGGGTGGGCGCGGCGAAGGCCATGGACCTGCTCACCACGGCGGCCCTGGCGGTGGCCGCGGTGGCGGCGGCGGTCGAGGCGAGCATGAAGGGGGGCGAGGTGGGCGGGGTGAAGGCCACGCGCCCGCTCACGGCGGCCCTGGTGGTCGGGGCGGTGGCGGCGGCCGCGGCGAGCACGTGAGTCGGCCTCCGCTGTTGCTTGCACCGCTGTTTTCTATATGCATACGACGAAATTAACTGCTGTCGGAGAATTCGCGATTTTTGGCGGCGGTTGAACATGAAACGGTGAGGTGACACGCCCGCCGCGACTTGATGTCAGGTACAACAGCCCCATCCCCGACCCCGTGTTCTAAACTGCAGAGTGTATCATCATGCTCACGCTCGAGGGCGTACGGGTAGCGCGGAGGCGTTTGTCTAGAGCGATCGATTCTTGACCAGGAGACTCGCAGTAGGTAGGCCTTGAATGCGACGTTGTTTACATTCGTGGAAACGGATACATGCGTGAGAAATCATTACTGCAAGAACCGCGGGTCACAATCGGGTGGTTGCTTTTGTCGCGGGCCTTGAGTATAGCAGGTGCCCTCTCGTGGGCGCCTTAGGCGTTGTCTTCAACTAACTAACACGCACATGCATGTCTGGTACTTGGTTGGGGTACTGCTGTAGCTGCTTCGGCGATGACCGTACTCAGCTGTTGCCCACCCCTCCCTCTGGATGCATACAACGATCGAATCTTTGGCGGACCAGATGGCCTGTCCGGCCGCAACTTCTGTTTTTCGAGCCAGTTGTCCAACAAAGTGAAGAAAAATCTGTGCAGTTTGTCCCCGTCGCCTCCCGCCCCCCCACTCGGCGCTCTAGTGCACTGCCGGTTTCGCTCTGACGTGCACCTTCCGCAAAAACTGCGGCCGCTACTGCTGTCTGCGTTCTATTCGTCCGTGGATTCCCCCCGGAAAGAGATTTCGCGGAACAACTCCCATTCAATCGCGACATCAAAGAAACACAGCACCGCCGCGTTCGCTCATTTGACCCCCTTGCTCCTTCACCAATGACCGTGGTTTACCGTTCCTCCGGTACCGTCGACCTTTTTTTTTCAGGGCGGCAGGGGTGGCCACCACCACGGCGGCAGTGACTCGGTAAGTCTTGTTCTTGCTTCGACATCTACGCTAAATATCGTCTCTCTGGATGCATCAAGAGTTTCAAGACATCAAGCCTGCCGAACGTTGATTGGAGGATCGCTCTTGTTGTGTGGGGTATCCGCCCCATACGCGACCACAACGATCCGCGTGATTCATGAGCATCACAATTACTCGAGGCTGAGAATTCGCTGCAACCGGTAGCAGGAGGGGGCAGGGGGGCAAAAACACGCTCATGCCGTTGGTTACATTTCGTCGCTAAATCTCGCTGAGCGGGCGGGTGCGTCATTTTTTTTTTTGCAATTGAAGGTTTCTGGGGTTGAAGTTCTTTCACGTTGCGTAACAAGCTGGCATCCTTGTGGCTGCTGGCGGACAAACACTTGTTATCTTGGAACGGATAGTCTATCTTGGTTCCATTCAGTTTTTTTTTTTTTGAAAATACAGCAGTAGCACCGAATTCGCGGTTGCTACAAAGCATACAGGAATACTTCGTATGCTCACGTTGTTTTTGCTCTTTGTCGAGGAACTGTGATACTGCAATCTACTTACAGACTTTGTGGGTTGGTGTCATCGTCCTATTCGTTGCTCTCTATTGAACTCTGTTGGTTGCTTAAATAATTTGCTACTCCTAAATTTTATGATCCAGTTTATGTTTTTTTGCTTCTGGGTGAACACTGCTTGTTGTTTCCTACTTCTGCTGTAATGCCTGTAGTTGCTGCAATTGCAGCTTCTGTTGTTACGTGTTTTTTGGACGCCTATTCTTACCTCTATTCGCATGCATAGGAATTTCCTTTTTTATTTTTCTTAATATGACAACGAGTCCATCTCTATCATAGAAAAGAGTCAGACAGATTAACAATGGAATCATAGCGTCAGAGAAAACTACCTGTGTNTTCTTAATATGACACAACGAGTCCATCTCTATCATAGAAAAGAGTCAGAGACAGATTAACAATGGAATCATAGCGTCAGAGAAAACTACCTGTGTGTCTACGATTTCCCAGACAGCATATAGGGACATCTCCCCTGTGGGTAACAGGCTCAACAAATCAGTTTGGTAGCTGTCTTGTGTGTCTCATATATGTTATGTTGGGAAGGTGCAGACGAAAGGTGTTGGGTACTGTTGGGTAGTCGGGCGTTTTGTGTGTCGCACCCTATTAGTTCTAACACATGCAATCTCCATCAGTTTACAAACATATTCTCAGTTTGGTATGCATATGTGCGGAGTATGTGCGGCTGATGTGCCATCTCTTCCTTTTGTGTTCTTTCTTTTCGGGACGGAGTTCAAGCCGAGGGGCGGTGTGGCTGCGGCTGGTGTGATTTGTTCCACCGACTCAGGATACAAGTGCTGGGCAGCAGCTTTCATCTTTCATCTAGTAGTGTTGTAAGGAATGCGTCAGTCGTTGTTGCCCGGCATATAATGTGGACCCCATTTACGACAGGCAGATCTCGGACGGGTTTTCGGACAATCAGCATTGTCGGTGAACACTACTACAGAGCTTCTGCGGTGACAAGCACGCTTTCTGTCCTTAACTTTTCACTCTGTCATGTGTGTGTGGTATCTACCACGGCTCTTCAGTAATTTGTCTTTCTCCTAAGAATTCTGACTTGTTTGACTTGTTTCCATTTTTTTTTTTTCGTTTTCAGGATAGCGAGGGGGATGACCCCAAGTTCCCCGGAATGTCGGCGAAAGTAAACGAGGCCGCCAGGGCCTACCGCGACAAGCACAACATTCCCAAGGGAACACCCCTGTCCGCGGTACACAAGGTAAACGTAAACGCCTAGGGCACAGCGGCAAAGTTCGGAACGACACCCACGTTTACGCGATCCTGTACACGCGCGTTCACGTGCGTGTGCTGTATTGGACTGCCCGTGAAAGGAAGTCGCAAAGGAAGGCGATAACCACCCCGAGATGCGTCTTGTGTCTTTGTATCGATGCATGAACGAAGGCAATGTAGTAGAAGCCTAGTGATCCCGGCGGAAACGGAAGAGAGGGGGGCAGTACAAACAGATTGTGTACCCCCCATCTGTGGATAGAATCCTGCAATACAATCTGCAATCTGGCCACCTAAACGCATCCTCCTCCGTGCGACGGCGGACTACATTAATAGTTGTAGGGCCTGCAGTATGTTAAAGAACGAGTCGCAGTCCCCGCAGAATCAGATCGTGTCATGAAACTTAAAAACTTGCGTGCAATTTTTTGCTTCCCCTCTTGCTGCCTGCCTGGTGCTTGCTGCCTGCAGGAGAAGCTGAAGGAAGTGCGCAGGGAGGCCCGCAAGGCCTTCCGCGAAGCTCACCGCAAGTAGAACACACGTGCGTGCGGGCCAACGGCTGATCTGATCTGATCTGATCTGATCTGATGGAAGAACCAAGAAGCAACACCTGCGATTTCTTCAGCAGTATCCACGAGAGAGGTCGACGTTGCAGAGACAGCCTCCTCGCTTGTTGTCGAGAGACGTTTCGTTTGAACTATCGAGTCATGCATTCGTCGTATGCTAGAGGCTTGTATTGGAGTGACGTGGGTTGAGTTTCATCCTTCCCCGCTTGCACGGCGTCATGAACTTCGATGTTGGATGTTGGACTTGATGTGAACTTTTGTCGTAGTAGCAGTAATGACCCTGCTTGGGGTGGGGAGGAGGGAGTTCTGCTGCTGGCCGACGTAGCTCCAAGTACCCCGTGCAATCCGCACATGTAGCGTTGTCGGTTGCTTTCCATATTTGTTCTTGCACGGCGAGCTCAGCGGTATCGACTGCGAGCTACTTCCGTTTTTTGAAATAGAACTACGTTTACCTTCATTAGTAGAAAAATGAACTTCCTTCAAATCCAAATCCAAAGGTTCAATAACTTGCGGCCACGGATTTCGCGGTGTGGAGTGTGGGGTCATTTCGTCCACGCGAACACTACCGACAGCGGTAGATGGCTCCGGAAGGCGTTGATTTCGCCGGCTACTGTACGTGAACAGACGTAGACATCTATTAAGGGAAAATAGAAGGGCCTCCTCTGGCTGGCGTAGGCCGTGTTGGTTTGTGGACTGCCGCGAATAACGCTCGCTCAAACGGGCGAGGATGACGCAACCAGGGGAGCCAAAGTGTTTTTTTGTTCTTACTCTGTGGGCAATAATAACTTTTGTTTCTGACCCAGTTCCGCAGGAACAAAAGGTAAAACTTGAGTGCATCGTTGCATCGTTTCAGGATGGTTGAGGGTTGAGCCAGTCGCCCTGGTGGTCTACTGTAGGGGGTAAGGTAAAAGTCGAGACTCTACGCGTGTACTTGCTGAGAGCTCAATTCTCGGGCGTGTGTCGCCGGTCGCTTGTATCTTCAGCGTACTGTAGTCGTGTAAGATGCTTCTTCGTAAGTGTTCTTTGAGGGGAGGAGATGCTGAGCCCTTTTCACATTTGAGAGGCACCATGCCTCAAGGTTGTTGCTTTTGGACTACGGATGAGAGCCGCGAGGTCTTCCGACAAGTTGATTGGGTGCTTACACTTCGCACGCAGTCACCCAAGGATTTAGTTTGCGGAGCTCGGGTCGATGGCAGATGGTCGAAGTGGCGTAGGAGAAGAGTCCGCCTGTCGCACATAGCGCAGACAAGAGGTTCTCGAGGTGGGTGTTCATAGCGCAGGGCCAAGGGCAAGGCAGCACCGTGTGTTTGGATACGGTCTCGTAGTCGAATGTCGAGTCTTTCATGTGTTGGCAGTGTTGATGTGCGGATAGTCTACTAACGAATCTTGCCCAAGCCTTTGGTTGGTGTTGGTCCATATATGTCATTTCTGGCCAACAGCAAATATTTCTGTCCGACAGGGAACAGCAAAAGTCCAACCTTTCGTTGGGGTAATGGAGATGCAGTCGCGCACGTTGGGGCATAAACATGGTTGGCAGCCCTTGGCACCCGCACCACCAGTCTTGCAGTTGTCGAGGACAGGACAGGTGCTCGCCCCGTCCTCTCTCTTTATGGGTCAAGAGTGTCTGCTACTGATACCAAGAGCCTTCGCCACTGCACCCCATGTCGCATTGCAGGGAAGCAGCAGACTAACCGCATTCCACACGGGCGTCGGTTGCCCATGGACGGGATCAAGCTCTGGCGCATTCCTCCGCGACACTAGAAACAACTCTTTATGCTTGCACCCCATGCCCCGCGTCTCAAACCAAAATAACACCAGTGCGGATATCCTTCTGCACTTCAGGGAGACAAAAGAAGCTTTGGCGCCGCGTGGGGCCTTCTGTTTTTTTTTTGTGGTCGGATACGTCCGTACACGTGTGGATGTGCAACTCTCCTGGTCGTTCACCGTACAGTCGGTATGTCCCTGATGACAACTTCGGCATGGAGATTTGGATACGCAACCACACGGTGTGCAAAAGATATGATGTCCGCTCCGGCGGTCCAAGCAGTCGCTTGTTGAAATGTTACATGGCTTTATCTAGCTAAATATATCGCAGCACGGTGGTGTAGGGGGGTGTTCTAGGAGCAGCTCCGCACCTGTGTTCAGAACCATGACCACCACCCCCCCCCCGTGAACTAGGGGCATTTCGCCCGTGCGCTGCGCATCTACGGTAACTAATGTTAATTATTCTCCAAACAGCGGTGTTCCACCACAGAATGTCACACAATCTTCACAGCACACGTCTTGGACATGACACAAATATCTGTTATGATAGACCACCGCCCCCCCGTCCCCTTAACCACAAGTGTGCCTCCTGCCCAACGAGATTGCTGTAGTACAAGAGTCTAGCATACATCTCAAAAAGGCGATTAGCGGAGTGGGTATTACACGAAAGCCATGCGTCGCTCCGAACGAACACCAGACTAAATTACAGACTGAAGGGTCAGTGGTGCAGCCCCAAACATTCTTCTTGCTACATAATTATGCTCCAGACACTCCGGTGCTACATAGCTAGGTGTACGACAGCAGCACCTCCGACAAAAAGCGAACCAGGTTTCTCTCCGAAAACTTCTCGGGGAAAACGAGGACAGGGCCGCCCGAGTGCACCTGGACCTCGTAGCTCTCCGACCTTGCCCTCAGCACGAGCACCACGGTGCTCCACAGCCCCTGCAAGGGCAAAAGCACGGGAGGGAGCAGGACGGGTCTTCTACTGTAGTGGTGGACAAAGACGGCGGACAGGAAGTTGTCGACTGCGGCGGCTTTGGCGTTCGGGAACCGGGGGCGGCGGGCATCATGGTAAGGACCGTGTTCCTTTCGATGTGGGGTACAAGCAAGTGCGGAGCGTGCGTCTTCTGAAATAGTAGAGCTGGCAAAAAGAAGGGAGATTTGGCGGAAAAGGCAAGAACGCTCACGTGCGTCTTCTGGTACTGCACAACTGGCCCATAGCGGACAATGTCGGGAAAAACAACAAGGATGCTCACCCTATCGTGCAACTCCAAGTGCTCGAAGTGCTTGACGAGGGTCCGGTGTAACCGTAGCAGAGCTGCCGCCTCGCGGGACACCGGGACGCCCGCAAACTGCACCCTGCCGCTGCGCAAGAGGTCGTCCACCTGCGATCAGACACGTAACACCCGCAAGAACACCTTTTTGAAAATAGTGACCGTTTTCTTCTAGGCGTCGTGTTGTACCCTGCCGGCCGAATCGTAACCCCCCACCACAGCAGCAGCAGCCTTTTCTTTGGTCGCTGGCTCGCCAAAATGTGTATCGTTGAGAAACGCGACCCGTCCTTTTGGCGGGAGAAAACACCCAAAATGAATCCAGCCAAAGAACACATAGAATACATACTATTAATAGTAGAACATAGTCTAGAACAAGAAAGAGCGCAACAACAGCAGCAGATGCCACAACATCAACACGAGAGGATAGAACAGGATGCTTCGGCACCCACGGACACACTACTGTACCACCTCTCCGATGCGGTTAGGGTACGTTTAGGTCCGAACGTGTCGCCGCCGCAACCGGTAGTTGAGTCGAGCCCATTGAGACAGAGGCGTGGGTGCTCCATGTAGAGACCGAAAACAGAAGGGGGTGTAGCGCACTCACTCACTCACTCACGACGACTCCCTCATCTACTCGCTTTGCCAACGAGACCGGAAGACGGCAACAAACGCTACCTATCGTGCATCACCCGAGTGCAATGCATCAAACACGAAAAAAAAAACCGGGCGTGTGCGCGTCCAAGAGAATTTCATCTGTTTTAGGTTCTCCCCTAATCCGAGTTCTTCTATTCAGGGAGTCAACACCGTGGGGAAGGGTGAACGACAAACGAGTTGCCTGACGAAGAGAAAATCAAGCTTCATACCTGTGAGTGCAGCACCACTGTGCGCAATCCCGGCCTCAAGCAGCTGTAGCAGACAACGACACACTTCGCTATCGCTGTTGCAAACGCATCCGTGTCTATCGTCGTTGCGGACTACATCCCTCTCATCATCCCTCTCATCCCTCTCTATCGTCTCGAGAAACCACACACCATTCCACACCACAAGAACAAAACACGGGTCATGCCAATAAAAAGAAGAAAAACGCTCATGTAAGTGCACACGACATGGAAAACTAACGCAGGCCAGCAGCACGCAGTGTCATACGGTAGATGACAACAGATGACGCCCTTTTACAGATCGCTCCTGCACATGAGAAATTCTACTTTCGGCCGAGGCTGGGGTTCTTCCTGTATTCCAAGGGTAATGCTACGAACGGTCGCTACATAGAATTTAGTGCAGGGGTTCTTAACCGGACTCGAATAAGGTACTTCGTACTAAACTTCTCATGGTCGTAAACATAGCATGAGATTCATGACTTTGCCAAGTTGTTAAGGGCCATACAGGGGCTCTCTGCATACACTCGCGTACCCCTCACCCCTCACCCGTCGAGATCTCGCTTGCGAAGCAGCCTCGGCGCCGCCAAACCTTCTCACTCCCCTGCCCCCACCGCCACCGAGCCCTCCCCCGAAGAAGCCCGAACCGGCGCCGGCGTCCCACGGGTCGACGTGGTGGTTGTCCCCCGCGTGCTCGATGGTGAGTTCGCGAAGCTCCTCGGAGGTCATCGTCGGCGCATCCCCTTGGTCCCGGTCGGTGGTTCTGGAGGCCCTGTGGTCATGTTTTCGTTCAAGTTGAATTTTGCAAGGCAGATTTTTTACATGGACCTTCGGGGTTCATTTTATTTTTGATACTCGTTGTGGCCAGGTTAGCGTGCGACGACGGGAATCGACCGCATCAAGAGTTAGCCCAGACTAGAAGGTACGGGATAGGGAGGAGATCGGAACGGCTTTTAATGTAAGGGCAACAACAGCAGCAACAACAACAACAAAACAACAACAACAACAACAACAACAACAACGCATTGAAGTCAAAGGGCTGCGCCGGAGATCCTTGTGATGGTGTTGTTGTTGTTGTTGATGTTGATGTTGATGTTGGTAGTGGTGCTAAGTTTTTCTCTTCTATTATTGCACGAAAGAAAAAAACGAGCATCACAATATTCGCGTTTCAGGTTTGGCTCCCGTGCTATTGGTTGGACCGAGAATAAGACTACTTGCAAGCGTGTCACGCAGACGTGGGCTCCCGTCGCGTGTGGGCTTCGTGCACTTCCTCCCGTAGAATGCACATCATGTACTCGGTGTCTCGCTGACGTTCCTCCGCTAAGGTTCCTGTTGTTGTCATCACCGCCTATGCCGTCGTTGTCATTGCCGTTGGCATTGGTGTTGCTAGTGCTGCTGTTACGATAAGTCCCCGAAGTAAACAAAAATTAGCATTGCTTGAATCCCCGTACCATACCCTAGGTAGAAACAGCGATAACCCACCAGCTGGGCAAAGGAACCAATGTCCGATCCCAGGAGTCAACCCTTTGCATGCGTAGGTGCGTGCAGTTGTAGCCAAACCAAGCACCGTCGACCGATATAGGTGCGTAGAAACATGGGTTTGGGATGCAGCGTGTTTGGGGAGATAGACCGACGGCAGGGATACGGGCCCGCAAGTCACCATCCGCAAAAACGCAGAGACACGTAGCACTAAGATGGCTTTCATGCCGGTGAACAGTCATCGGCAATCGTGTGCCACGTGGCTCTCGACATCGACCCTCCGCATCGTCTTCCATCTCTCACCTATGGCGCTACGATTATTCGGCGTACGACTTTGATTTCAAGAAAGTTGAAACTCCTTACGTGGGTATATTAGCTGGACTGCCACCACGGCAGGCTTCCGCGACAGTCAGATGAACCAGTACGGACATTTGGAGGTTATGAGGGGAGACCGGAACGGTTTTGAATGTGCAGACAACAACAACTATAACAATAGCAACAACGGCAGCGGCAGCAACGGCCACAACTGAGTGCTTCATCTGCGCCACCGTTTTCCATTTTCAAGGCGAGAAAGATCAGCGACCCTTGTTACCACGCGAACGAAAAGCACACACAGCACCAAAATTAAGTTCAAAGGAGCGGCTCAAGCTATTACGGCATGCGGAACCTCGCCTCGGAGATTCCCAGGACACACAACACAAAAGCTTGCGCCTTTCAGCCAAACGAGGGCAAAAACAGTACGAATTTTGGAGGCGGAGTGCTGCTTGCACGCGGGGCTGTTGTACCTCTGCAAACGGAAACACAACAAGAAGGTCCAACAACCTGTGCGATGGCAAAGTCGATACGCAACACCAGAGCCAACGCACCAGGTATCTAGCTGCTAGATCAAGGTACCAGAAACTTTTCGGGATTCGCTGGTGGCAGGCCGACCTTACGGTTGCCTTTGGTGCAGTGTCAACGGGGCAGGCAACTCGCGGAGTGACCGTCCCCTCTCAACCGGGTTGCCGAACTACGGTAAGCGGTAAGCCGTTTCTAGGTTCTGGAATGTGCCTTGGCTCCATCCCTCCACGTCACGTTTCAGCCGGTATACGGTATCCGAGGACACATTCCTGTTCAGCGAATAGTGTAACGCACCACGCCGACGCACGGTCTTTTGGGGTTTGGGCTAGCCCCCACCCCAAACCGCCAACCAACCGACCCATCCAACCACCCACCGTTCCGTCCGTATGCCGTCTCGAGGCGGCCCCCCCCTCCTCCTCCTTCTGCCCACGCCGAACGCCTCGCCGTAGAAAGCTTCTTCCGTTTCCCCCTCCCTCACCCTCACGCCGTCCCCCATCGCCCTCCTCGCTTGCTCATCTTCTGTCTCCTCATTACCACCGCCAGCTTTCCCGTAGTCGTGGCCGACCGATGCCCGTCGCAAGAGCCCGTCTAGCTGCCGGCGGAGCTGCCCGCGAAGCGATCCCGAGGGGTCGGAGGAGAGCGTCGGGGGAAACCGGAGCTCGGCGCTGAGCTCCACGAGTGAGCTGCTGTTGTTGCTGCTGTTGTTGCTGCTGTTGTTGCTGCTGTTGCTGCTGCTACTGTTTGTTGTGTCGTTTCTGCCCGATTGCCGCCATGCTTTGTCGGCGTTGGTGTTCGGGTCTTCGTTGTCGGAAGAGGCGGGGTTCTGTTTGAGGTGGAAGAAGGTGAGGGAGTAGAACGGGGCCACCGTCGGGGGCGGTGCCGGCGACCTTACGCTACCGCTACCGTTGGCTGGTTTCGCTCCGGCAGCCCCTGCCTCCAAGGCCTCCGCAGCGTCAATCAGCGTGTTGAGGTCCTGCCGGGTAAAAACGAATGGTACAAAATTTGTGTTTGTGTACATACGTCAAATACATACAGCAGTTGTTTATTTCGCCTACGGCGGGTTGGTCGTATGGTGCAGCAAGCTCTGCTGCAGATTAAGGTTGCTGCATCTCGAAGCCAGAGGAACAGTAGCGAAAAACACACGAGCTACAGCTGCAGCTGCTGCCTATACATTCGAGCGGGGCTGATACGAAAGCAGCGCGTTTTGGACTGCTGCCAGCGCATGGACTTCCTTGTCTCCACCATCAACATTGAAGTTTCAAGTACACTCAGTGCACCCGGTGGTCCCTCTACACCTGGTGCTGTAGGCCTTGCCGACCAACAAGTCCCCTGAATCCATCAACGAAAGGCAGCACTCGGCAGCACTACTTCGGGAGGCCAAGCGTGCTCCAGTGCTGCTGTGGGTTTTCCAACGTAATGGATAATCATTCCCTGGAGCGAAGTTGGTGCGGGATAGCACTCGACAAAGAGCCAGCGTAGAGCCACCAAAACCTCCTTCACGCCCTCCCCCCTATTTTTACTCTAATCCCACTCGCGCAGAGGCGACTTTCAGCTTCATGCCAAACAGGTATCACCACCCGCTACACACCTTCAAGGACTTGGAGTTGGTGCTGGCCACGTCGGGAGGATACTGTCCGAACATGTCGGGATGCACGAGCTTGATGAGCGGCATCATCCGCTTGCGGACACCAACACCCACCCCGCTGCTGGCGGCGGTAGATGTTGACAGCGCAGGCAGGCGGAGGAGCAGCTCGGGCGTACCCTTGCACGCGCGGCGGCCGCGTGGGCGGCTGCACCCATGGGCAAGAAGCGAGGGTGCCCCCTTCCGTGTTCTCATCAAGACAGCTCGCATCGAATCGGACCTTCTTGCTGTGTTTGTTGTGAGATGACCGAGGCACAGGTGTTGCTGGGGGCTCCGTGGTGCGTTTTTTTCAGGGAAATTAGGCCGACCAGGACATCTGACGACGCCAACAACAGTCACTGTTCCTATGGAATGCAGCGCAACTTTGCAACGGCTCCTGCTGTAGGGTAGATCCAAAATTCTAGCAATGCCATTCAGTGAGTTGGACTACCAAGCCGTACACCCACGAAGTTGTGAGGGATCCGGTCAACTCTACGGGTGGTCAACTTGTGTGTGAAGTTGAGCTTGGGGGGTGGTATATTCCGTCATACATCAGGCGTACCGCTCCATTTCGCGAGATATCGACATCCACGGATTGATCCATTCACTGCGCACGCTGCAGCCTGGCACATAGATCTTCGGCACTGCGGGCGAGGGAGTGCTGCACCGGGCTTTGAATGTGAGTGGTTCTTTTCCCATGACTGTCAACGCCCGCGAGGATGGGCTTTGCTCGATGAAGTGATGTGCGCGCCAAGGAAACCTGTGTCGACACCCACGCGGGCTGTACAGCGGTACGCTGCTGCGTTGCCGCAGTGATGTAGTAGAGGATACGCTTGAGTCTATGGGTGACGACCGCCGACATAAGTTATGGGTGCTAACGATGATGCTCTATTCAGCACAAATTGCGCAGCACATTCGACTGGTTCGTGGTATCGACAGAGATTTCGGAATTTTTTATTTAGATTTTGAAAGTCCTTGTCCGCGGTCAACGATGATTCACACCACAGCTCGCGACAGCACCGACCGAATTCAACGTCGCCTCCTCACCTGCTGTGGCCAGTGGTTCTTATTCTTGGCATCGATGCCTCAATGTGTGCAGTTGTAAGTTTGCATTGCGCATGTTTAAGTACCGTGTGTGATACCCAGCAATGGTTTTTATATGCGGAAATGTGTATGTGCGCACTCCTGTTACCGTGTGTTTGTGGCATGCCGCACCCCGATGTCAACATCGTACAAAAATGGCGGCTGCTGTCGGTGTACTATGTAGCAGGATGGGCCTCTGTCGGAAAAAGCGCGTGGGGGTCGGAGTGGAATCGGGAATGCCGTGGGAGGATGACAACGCGCTCGCGGATGACCAAGCGAACCTCCGTTTCTTGGAGCGCGTGAGGGAAAGTATCGATGTCGTGCTCTCGAGCGGTAGCGTGGAAGACGGTGTGGCACTTGGTGCATGCTCGGAGATGATCGAGTACGCTAGGAGCTTCAAGCACGTGTTGGGCAGCCAAGATACGGACGTCATCCTACCGGTAAGAGCACCAGACGCACGCACGGCATTATCCAGCTTGGGGCGTGGTTTTGGCACGGCCGACCTCGGCAATACCGTAATCTTCGGGGTCGTACAGCCCCCGTGGTGTTCATGGAAAAACTAAAGTCCCCATCCCATTTGTTCTATTTTCCCCCGAGTAAGCGCAAGGAAGAAATCTAGAGGCAGAGTTCATCCCCTCCCAGGGTTGGCGGCAACGACGACCACGGTGTTTCATGTCTTGGTGTAGCGCGCAATGTTACGAGCACGACGTGCCATAGTCATCGCTGCGAAACATTAGGTGGGTGTACTTGCGCGAAGGAACTGGTCGCGTTTCATGCTTCATCAAAACCCAGTGTATTGGGTGAGCAATTTTTGTGCAACCATGCATCGTGCACGTGCTATAGGCACACCATGGGAGCAAAATGATGCCACCAGAAACACAACCGCCTCCGGTCGTTTTTTGCAGGGATACGAAGGATTGTTGAGGCGACCCATGCTCGTGGATGCAACGGCTCAAGCCCTGCTCAACGAGGCGGACAGCGCGGACGGTGGGACCAGGGGGTCGACCATAAAAACCTGCGCCAACAATGCTTGCTATTTCAACGCCGTTGCGTTGGGGGGGTTTGGTGCCAGGTACAAAACCCCTGACGAAGCGCTGGAGCTGTCTCTGTCGGTGCGTGTAGCCGTAATCCGGGCGGCCCTAGTACATTTGCAGACATTCATCAGCGGTCCTGGGTACGGTGGCTTCTACTGTACGCTGCAGGCGTATTCCGCGAAAGAAGTTGAGGGCGCTTGGAGGCTCGGGTGCAGCAAGCCTGAGGTCTTGACAGAGAGCGTAGCGCGAGTTCTGTACCTGCTTGCCGTGCGAGAGGTCGCTGGCGAGTTCAGCGACAGCCAACAGGCGGCCATACCGTGGATAGCACAAGCGTTTGGGGTGAAGATGCGGTGCTTTCACCCAGGTGAGTTGGTTTGTATTCAGGATGATTTCCCCGTAAGATAGAAGACGGCAAACTTGCAAAGCTAAATCGGTATGAGGGCTCCCGCTCTCGTTAGGTCTCCACCTGTCACGATTAACCCGGACAACCCCCTTCCACCACCCCCAGGACAGGATTATCTCTCTTATGGTACAGGGACGCTTCGGATAAGTGCTTGTCACCTTCATTTAGTATCCTTATAATCCAATAGCTTGTGCACATAAGGGCGATCCTTTGATAACGCTGCTCACACATTATGTCACTGGGCAGGTGGGTCGATGAAGGATGTTGAGGGTGGGGCGTCGTTCGCCGGGAAATGGAGCAAGGAATTGGTCAGTCCGCTCAACCCCTCTGGGGTTGAGTCAACCATCTACCTCACGATGTCCATCACGTCTCACAAGCACGCGTTCAGAAGCATCCACGAGTTCACGGAGACAACTCGCCGCTGGGAACGCGGTGTCGATGGCGAACTCCACCAAATGCGATGGATGCCTGATTTCAATCACTGGGTGCTCATGTTGCCCCCGGCAAACGCAGGTGCCCTTCAGGTGAAACAGACAGGACGCCGGGTGTCCGGACGCCGGGTGTGTTGTTGCTCATTGTGGGGCGCAAAAGACGTACGGAGCTTTTGTGAAGTGTTCATTTTTTTGACCCCTCGGCCGCAGTTCATTTCCTGAGTATACCACACCCCCCAGAATTCGCCCATCTTCGCATTGTTCGCACGCGTGTATTTCGCTCTGCGCAGAAACACACAAACAGACGGGGGGTTCGTTTTCAGCCAACCGCCCCGGTCGGCGCAAGGTTCCAGAAAAGAAAGTGGCATTTTGAACGCCACCCCTTTCGTCGCCAACGACATGGCGGCCTTGACAAAAGTCAGAGCATTGTTGTATGGAGGGCTCGTCACCACCCACTCAGGCCTTTTCCCGGAGTTAGCTGCGAGAAAGTCTTCCGGGAAGGACTCCAAGCTTGCGTCAAGGTTGGTATCCGCTGGACGCCTGCATCGACAACAACAGAATACAAGAAATCAGCGATCGCGCACATGATACGGGAAAAAAATAATCATGCGCGAACATGGTGTTGCCGTTTCGCCAAACGCGTGAGAATCTCCCTCTTCAACAAAGACATCCACTGTGGGAGAAGAAAGACCCCCATACGTGCTATAAGGAGCGTGGCCCGTGCCTGTCAAAAGGGCACACGGCCTTTGCAGGCATGCACCCAGAACCTGTCTGTCAACTGGAGATTTTACCATTGCAAATCCGAGCACTTGGCACCTCTGGCAACAGCCAAAACCGAAAATCAAGCCATGAAACGTGAGCAACGGTGATTAATATCGGGGGGGGGGGGGGGGGAATAACGACTCGGAGCGAACTCACAGAAAGGATCGGGGGCGAAATTATCGTGTCCATGAAAAACCAGGGACATTTTGTGTTGTTCTGTACCACCTCGTTATGTTCACGTTCCATGTCGGGCCTGAGCACAACCTACCATCCGCAATACAGTCGAATGACTTTTACATTTGAACTGTTGTCAGAAGATTTTTTGTCGGCTGCCCCCTGTGTTTTCTGAACGTCTATGTGCAAGGAAATTTCCTGCGGGGTATTTTCAAGTTACTGAACAGAGGTAGAATGTCCTTACCCCGAGCTCACGTCGTTGGTGAGAACTTCGCACGTGGATCGAAGACGGGTCGCGACGGCGTCCGTGGGCCCACCGCACATGTCCAAAACGCATCCCGTGATACCCACAGCACCCAGCAAAGCATCCACCGCCTCAGGCGAAGTGCAGTACCTATCAAGCCACCGACGCTTCAGGTGCGTTTGAGGTTCAGGAGCACCAACCCAACCCTTGGCATGGCGAGGCGTCCGAGCTGCCTTGCGCGCTCGCCGGTCTTTACTCCGGTCCTTGCTAGCCCTTTGCCCGTGCTTTTTGTAAAGCTGCAGCAAGCAAGCAGGTCGTCTGCACAGTACGAGGGTGATCACGCCTAAGTTCCCCTCGTTCAAGGCCGGAAACTGGTTTGCGATGCCGACCTCGTCTACGAAATCCCGGACTTGGCTGCTGGTCCTTGCCCGCATGTGTCGGAAGGCAGATTCTTCTCCTCCACTGAGGCATGCGGTACAACGGGTCCCAGTTGCCGACATAGGAATACAACCTGTTCAGGATCGGTGAACACAAACCGATAGTGGTTAAACTAAACCAAGAGTGTTTTGAAGAGTGGTAAGGAGTGCAGCATCACCACTTCATAGCTTACGCGGCCGGTGCGGCGACACCGACTCGCGACCGCGCGCAGCAGCTGTGTCTGTTGAGGAAGTTCCGCCGCGTTCTAAGGCACCGGTGCGCGAAGCTCTGTTTCGGCTTTCACAACACAGATCCAAAATTCTAGCAACGATATATCAGGTCTATGCTTATCGATCACTCCAGTCTCCGAGCGCTGGTCCATTTGGTCAACTCTACGGGGGGTCAACTTGTCGTCAAAGTTCGCCAAACAGAGCGGCGGAACAACGGTGCGTAAAACAGGCCGCCAGACGGCTTCAGGCCAACGACTCGGTTTTCTCCCACCCAAGGACAATATTGCCAAATCAAAAGACTCACGCATGTACTATGTGACGTTCCTGAACCTGTTGCCGAGTTTCACTTCCGTCCTCCACCTGAGCGTCGAGTACTGCTGATGCTGAAAAGCAGTGTCTGACAAGCACACCCGGCGCACGCAGAGGGGCTACGCAGAAAGTATTTTTTATCCCTGGGTACCTGGTCTCCTATCAGGCGTACTTTTTTATTTTTCGATGGCAGCAACACGTGTGGAGGGGGCACCAAGGCACCACCACGCGGGGGGGGGAAGCCGCAAGTCATCCCCGTAATATATGAACAAGGCGTGTTGAGGAAAACAGTCTCGCCGCACAGTGGACGGTAGCCTACACTTTGTCCTGTTTGCTCCGTTACTCCCATGCCCTGGTGCGTAGTGCCTGGTGCTGGTACGTTACCCTTTGATTTTTTCTTTCGGCGGGTGTGGGAAGCGTCCTCCTTGATTTTTGTTTTTGTTTCATTTTGATCGGTTTCCGAGGGCTCTTTCCTCGAACGGTCGGTGCGATACCTGTTATTTTCTTTCTAAATTTATCATTTTGTTTTCTTCTTCCGAGTGGTTTGTACCCTATTTTTGTTTTGTTTCCCCGCGGCGTCGTATGTGCCGGGTTTTGAGACCACGGGCTCCCCACTTTTTGTGGACTATAGAGCTAATGTGAGAAACAACAACAACAACTACAGTCGAGGGACCTGTATAGTGCCGGTACGTGCGAAGAACGTTTTCCGGCACTAAACCGGGCACCCGGCACTATTGCGAATAGTGCCAAAGCGGCACTATTGAGGACTGCCCAATCCCTCATTAGTGCCGGTCTGGCGCTATTGGAGACGTGTTTGATTTATGGTGTGGCGCTCACGCTTGCGGGGCCAACAGAGTACCAAATGGATCGACATTTACGTAGAACTTGTAGACGAACATGTCGGTCCCCTGGGGCCAGATGGAAAGATACTCTCAAATTTCGTGTACGACCAAATTTTCGAAGAGTGTGCGCGGGCGTACTTCGGGGTGGACAACGCGGACGTTTAAGCGCTGCGGAGTGTGCAAGATACGGTAGCCGCCGAGGACCTTCTCAGGGTGGGGGCGACGACAGATCACTCGGCCGTGGAAGAGCTATGCAGGGAGCAACGGACTGGCCGAAGTGTAAGTGTAGTGTCGTGTTGCGAAAGTGTTGTAACTGTCACGAGCTGTGGTGATACACATGGCGATGCCACCACGAGTCTTTCGGGTGCTGGCGTGTATGAAATATCAGATACATTGAGATTATATCCTCGCACTTCGTCTTCACTACGACAAACTCTTTTTTTCTTTTTCTGTTCCAGAACTTTAACGGCGCAAACAATATTAGCAGCCAGCACCACATCATCGCGCAGGCAGCGACCGCCAAAGTGAAAATAGATTTCGAGGGAGGACTCAGACGAATGTCTGTGGAATAGCGTCGTCGGGAGGGGAAACCGGATTTTCCGACCGCGGGTGGGCTGTGGGGAGAGCCAGACTCCGCGAGGAGAGTAAAGCAGGTGTGCGCACTGGAACCGCCTAAGTAAGGTACCGGAGAAGGTTGTCACCGATTTCGGTCATTGTGGCCCTGTCCGGACAGCGCCAGCACCGATGGACATTGGGGCGGGGGCGGGGGACGATGGGGTACCTCCCACGTCTTCGATGAGCGCGTCCTGCGGCGCCTCCTTGGACCCCATCGACGCAGAGGAGGCCCATGCCGCAAAGATGATGAGGATAGCAGAGATGAACTTCAAGCGTCTGGACTTCGAGCGCAAGGCGGCCGCACTATAAGCTCTTGTGGTCCCTACAACAATTGACCCTGCTGTCACCGGGAGCTGTTTTGAAGCTCCATGGGTGGGGAAGGATGGAGGGGATAAGCAGGTGAGCGCGAGTAAGATGTTGACAAGTGTTGACATTGATAGGATGGCATAGAGGTGGGTCTCTGTGGTGAATATAACTGCTGCTTGGATTTTGAGCTCCCTCTCATATTCTTGCTCAGTTTTCATAGGCTGTTCGGACGGGGAAGAACGGCCCTTCACCCGGAAGTGGACGGGGACTTGGCGAGCCCATCACGTACACAACGGTGAGCGTGGGTAGCGAGATTTCGGTCACAAGTCGTGGAGAAACATGGAGGTGTGTCTTGTAGTGAGCGAAACGGGAATGTGGATTTTAAAACCCACTCTCTCTCTCTCTCTCTCTCTCTCTCTCTCTCTCTCNTCTCTCTCTCTCTCTCTCTCTCTCTCTCTCTCTCTCTCTCTCTCTCTCTCTCTCTCTCTCTCTCTTAACACAACAGAAAGGGCCAAAGGACACGGACTGTACCGGGGTACGGGCGCTCGCGGATGCCATTGGGCAAGCCTACGAACGAGCGAAGAAAAGAGGGCCCACTAATAACACGGTTCTTGAATACATGGACCATACAGTCAACGGCAGGTCGAAGCGCCCACTGGTCAGGTTGTTGGTTGCCAATGACGACAAGTTTAAGCCGGGCGCGTGATACACAGAGAGCAAATATCCGACGGACACCAACGACTGACCATTTCGTAATCTAGTGGAGAAAGTAGAGAAGCACACTGATTTTGAGTGGCTGTCGTGGCTTTCTATCGAACGTAGTTGTTCAGGAGTGTGGCTGCTAGCATGAATAGGGTACATCTTAATGTTGATAGGATGCGGGTCGGTCAGGAGGTATACCCTTCTGACCCCTCTCCCCTTAGAATTGTCTACTCCGTGTACCCCCTGAGATGAAGTTGGATCCCCACTTCATCTCAGACCCTTGCTGATCGTCGCTCAGCAATAACAAGCAACTTTCCCATCTCAAGGTGGTCGTGGACAAGCGTGTCAACGACAGAACCTTCATCTATCTCTGGGAGCAAGCTACCGCCCACGGCTTCACTTCGCAAATGGCGTCAGCGGCAGGGTACTGGTGAGAATCTCCTTGGGTGCACACTCTTTCTCCTGACTTGGACATTTTCCCATGGACGCAATGTGTGTCAGTCCTGAGAACACCGCTTGGAGTCGATCCTACAAAGAACCTTGTGACACTCCATCGAATTACCCATCCTGGCCACAAGAGGTTCCCAGTTGAGGGTAAATTCTGTGGGTGGAGAGTTGTAAGGAGGACCCGATTCGCAGGGTATCCGTCGATTGACTCTTACCTGAATCGTTATACCTTCGCAAAAGCAGCAGCCCGAGCAGCCTCATGTTCCTCCGCCTGCTTCCTCGCAGCAGCAGCCCGAACAGCCTCACGCTCCTCCTCCTACTTCCTCGCCGCAGCAGCCAGAGCAGCCTCACGTTCCGCCAAGCGCTCCGGGTCCTCGCGCCTCGCCTGTTCTGGTTCCTCCGCCTTTGCTATCTTCCCGGCAAGACCGTCCCACCACGCGTTCAAGCCTTCGGATGTGCAAGTGCAGATAGCTGTTCGAGACTCCATGTTGAAGCAGCTTCCGGTAGTGTCTGGGCAGGTGTACAAAGATGAGCAGCTCTCGATGGGAGCCCCTTTTGGGCGACATGCTTCGTGTCTGGATGATATGTGGGATGTGTTGGACAAGCGTGCGTTCGCGCACACGCCGGCGGTGCATGGAGATGATTTCTTTTCGGTATCTTCCACGAATGCTAGGAGTTCGTCTGCTGTTTCGCGTGCTGTAGCTTCTTCGGCGTTGCGTTCGACGGTGACCCCTTCGTGGAGCCAAGGTTCTTCGGCCGCCGTGATGAGTGTTGACCCTCTACCTAATGATGATCGGGACCCTTTTCTGTTGCACTACAGTGACTGGCCGTTGCAAGGACACTTCCAAGAGGTGTACAACGTCGCTAGTGAGATGGCTCTAACCAAGAATGATCCGCCATTGTTCACACCCTTGGTCTCGGCTGAAGAGCGCCGCATCGCGCTTCGACTGTACAAGGGCAAGTGCCTCAACTGCTTAGGAGAAGACCACTCCTTCAAATCCTGTAATCGTGGTGTCGTGAACGCCACCGGCTTGCTGAACAATGACATCAAGTTCTGTATGGAAAAAGATCCCACCCTTTGGGGTCGGTGGAAAAAGCGCATGACCTCGTAGACGGCCCTGTAGGCCACATCGAAATCACCCCTTATGACGCGCCCGCCGCTCATCTGACACATCGGACACGAAACAGTCCTCACACACAGAGCACTCGTCGGACGCTTCCACTTCGACAAAAAGGGACCGGAGGGGTAAGACATGACAAGCCGATGGCGGAGTTCAGCCGGTACTACCGTCAACAGCAACCACCGTGCACCCTATTGGAGTCTCCCAAGATCTTCGTGTACAACCTATTTCTTTGGATACTCCCCACGCTTCTCAATCACATCTAGTTTTTCGGCTCGCCTCCTCGTCGTCCGCCTCATCGCCTGCTGGTAATGAACATGACAGACCCATTTCGGTAGTACCTTTGTGGTGTGGGCGACAGGGAGGTAAGACGTCGAGCGGTCCATCCCTGCTCACCTCGTCGTCTCGGGTCACAGAAGGAACAAGAGCCTCGTCTTCTACTGTTCGTCAAGACTCTCCTGGTGTTGTCGGCCGGGCCTCTTCTCGGATCGCACACGAGCCTCCTGCTACACTCGTCGGCAACCCCGTCGATCCCCCTTCTCTTTCGCAGCTTTCGTTGTCTTCGACCGTCCGCTGCCCCCGTGTGACAGCACCTGATACGAATGCGTCTTCTTCTGCTGCCCACCACGTGCTGACTGCACCACTGCCATCGGGATCGGATGGTAGTGCCCACCATTCTGTGGAAGGTTCGGCTCCTTTGTCAAGGGGGAGTAGTCAAGAGCGCCCTGCGTCAATGAACAAACATCCGTCTGTTGCAGGCATGACCTATCCTAACGAACGGGTCTCTAATAGCCGAATTTGCCTCTGCTGACATTGACCCCGCCGGAGCCGCCACCCTTAGGCCGCCCTCCGGATCACGGAGCGTTGCGACTTTGCCCGCTCCTGCCTCGCTTTGTGGGTCCTCCCCGCCGGAGAAGAGGACCCGTCCGCTTGGTCCACCCCCGCCTGTGCCTGGTGCCCGCTCTT